ATTTGGCCGCTGTGTGGGGTCATTAATCCAGTTTTCGACCATTTCAAAGGGACACCTCTGTAACCCCGTATTCAGTAACGTTAGCTTCTTTAAGTTTGTGCCATTTTTGCTATCAAGAAACTTTGCAGATCTACTGCAAGTTCTGTTCTCATGGGAATCCGTTTGTTTTCCCATAGACAGAGCTGTTTTCCCCCAAAAGGGGGCGTTACCCTTCGATGACGCAAAAGTGGCGTTGGTCTATATTTGACTGACTGAATTGTTTCTTGATGTTATATTTAAGCTTTACTGTATATCTTTTTGTACTTTTTACTTATACTTTTATAATGGCTATTATTGATAAAACTGAAATTCAACAAAAAAGAGATAGTTTTGTCATTTTTTTATTTTACTACAAGATCATCTGTATGTTTATTGCAACATTTATGCGATATGCAATACATTACATTACATATTGCCTGGAATATGTTTTTAATATACATATAAATAAATATAAATATTTTTTAAATTTAAACGAAAAGAGGCAGGGTTGTTTTATATTTAATTTTGTTATAAATATATAATGTTATAGGCTACATGCAGAACATAATCAATAGGCTATGCGTTGCCTGAACCACATTTGTTTGCTTTAGAATGTTTAAAATGTATTAAAATGAAATCGAAAGAAGCAGAGTGGTGTTTTATAACATATTTCGTTTTATTGTAATTTGTAGCCTAAAATGAACATACAGAGATAACCGGAGTCGCAGAGCCAGAGCGAGCAGAGTGCCGCGTTCAAGAACGCGCTCTTCCATTAACAGAATTACTGGACTCGCGTCCTCGGGATCATTCTCCTGAATCGGACTTTGCGTTGGCTTCTTGGCAACGCCTAATGCCAGCGCTTGTTTCTAGTGACAAACATGCCGAGAAGCAAGAACAAGATCTGCTGTCTGTCATCCATTGTTGTTTACTATGTCGCTTTCTTCGCGCGAAAATGACGTCGATCGCTTCTTTCCAGCATACCACGCCTATCAAGTAAGGGTACTGTTGGCGGTGGAAACGCAAGCCTGATCATGGTGTACCCGACCCGACCCGTACTGTACTGTACCGAACCGTACCGTACCCCTCAGTGGAAACAAGTGGACTGAGAACTGTTACAATATGTTATATATGGTCATAAGGAAGTGACAGACTATGTATTGTTGAACCCTGACTCCTGTGTATGTGACGTCATTTGAGATGCGCAAGCACGTGAAGTAAAGAGAAGCACTGAGAAGCATGCGGTTGTGAGATTCATTTATTTTATAGAAATAGAGTGAGTGTCATACAGAGCCAAGCATAACATGGTGGCAGCGGTAAAGCACGAGATAAAAGTGTAAGATTAAAGGGTGTTTTCGAGAAAGCAACAGTGAGAAACGAGTGCCGATCATGGAGGGTGCGTTTGGATTGAAACCTCCAGCAAACTTTGACTGGAATGCGACGTGCATACCCAAAGCTTGGAAAGCGTGGGAAGAGGAGTTTTCCCTGTACATGGATTTGTCGCTTACAGATGCGGACAACAAAACGAAGGTAAAAGTTTTCCAATATCTAATCGGAGAAACAGGACGAGAGCTGTGTAAAACGCTGAGCGCAGCCCTGCCGGCTGACGGCGAGTTGACGATTGAATGGCTGTTAACCGCGTTCAGAAATCATTGCAATCCGGCACCGAATGAAACGGTGGAAAGATACAAATTTTTCTCCAGAAATCAGAACTCAAGTGAAACGTTTGACAAGTATGTTACTGACTTGAAAGTGCTGGCTGACACATGCAATTTTGGAACGGCTAGGGACTCTCTGATTAGAGACCGAATAGTATGCGGTATAATGAACTCGCACGTGAGAGAACGCCTGTTAAGAGAGACGGAACTGACGCTGGAGAAATGCGTGAGGATATGCAAAGCATCAGAACTGTCTAAAGAGAATGTGATGACTATTGAAGGTCAGAAATCAGAAGTACACGCAGTTCAGAGAGTTAGACAAGCCCAGAGTGCCAAACAAACACAACCAGCTAAGTGCAAATTCTGTGGAAAACAACATGAGTGGAAAAAACAGAGTTGCCCTGCATACGGAAAGCAGTGCAGGAAATGTGGCAAGATGAACCATTTCACATCAACATGCAAGACCAAAGAGACAATGCGAAAGGGAATACACAGTGTTGTAGAAAGGGAAGAAGAAGAACTGTATCAAGAAATACTAAGTCTGAATTCACAAAAGGAGGACAAACATGATAAACAACTGTTTGCAACCATGCTGATAAATGAGAGGCCAGTCAAATTTCAACTATACTGCGGAGCCAGTTGCAACGTTATACCCATTCAACTGTTAAACCCTGACACAGTAATGGAAAAGACTGAACAGATTCTGGTCATGTATAACAAGAGCACCCTAAAACCCATAGGGAAGTGCAGAACAAAAATAAGAAACCCCAGAAACAGGAAACTCTATCGTCTGGAGTTCATGGTAGTGGATGAAAGCTCATCAGTGCCCCTGCTAGGAAACAAGGCTGTGCAAGCAATGGACCTGGTAAGAATACAGCATGAAAACATTATGGCAATTGATGATATTGTTACCACAGAGAGATGCAGTGAAAAGCTAACGTGGGACAAGGGAGACATACAACGAGAGTATGCTGATGTATTTGAGGGAGATGGATGCCTGGAAGGGACATACAACCTCGAGGTGGATCCAGAAGTCAAACCAGTGAGGCTTCCAAAGCGGAGAGTACCGGTGGCCATAATGAAACATCTAAAAGATGAACTAGGAAGCCTGGAAGAGAGAGGCATCATAGCTCAGGTGGAAAAGAGCACGGATTGGATTAGCAGCATGGTGGTGGTGAAAAAACCAAGTGGAAAACTAAGAATTTGTATTGACCCAAGACCACTTAATAAAGCACTTAAGCGTCAACATTTTCCCCTGCCTACCATAGATGATGTTCTCCCGGATCTGACTAAGGCGAGAGTTTTCACAGTGTGTGATGTAAAGGATGGATTCTGGCATGTAAGGCTTTCAGAAGAGTCAAGTTATCTTACAACTTTCGCTACTCCGTTTGGCAGGTATAGATGGATCAAAATGCCAATGGGGATCAGCCCAGCTCCAGAAGTTTTCCAGCCCAGGTTGACTCAGGCGTTGGAGGGGCTGCCAGGAATCCGGATAATAGCAGATGACATCCTCATTTGTGGGGAAGGAGATAACGATGAAACGGCTGAGAAGGATCATGACGAAAAACTAAGACAACTACTGGAGCGATGCAGAAAGAGAAACATCAAACTAAACTTCAACAAACTCAAGCTGAAACAGAAAGAGGTGCCATACATCGGACACAGACTGACTTCAGAAGGTCTAAAGATTGATCCAGAGAAGGTGAGAGCCATAGTGGAGATGCCCAGACCAGCAGATGTGAAGGGGCTGCAGAGATTATTAGGTATGGTGAATTATCTGTCAAAATTTTGTCCACACCTGTCAGATAGCTGTGACACATTAAGACAACTGACACACAGAGATGCGGTTTGGGAGTGGAGTGGTGTACAGGAAGAAGCATTCAATAAAGTGAAACAGACGATTGCCTCTGCACCTGTGCTGAAATACTATAATCCAGAAGAAGACCTGGTTCTTCAGTGTGACTCCTCAGAGACAGGGCTGGGTGCAGCACTTCTGCAGGCAGGTCAACCGGTTGCTTTTTGTAGCAGAGCACTTACACCCACAGAAAAGGGGTATGCTCAAATAGAGAAAGAATGCCTCGCAATTCTGTTTGGCATGGAGAAATTCCACCAGTACACCTATGGCCGGAGCACAGAAGTCCATTCTGATCACAAACCCCTTGAAACGATCACAAGAAAGCCACTTTTAGATGCACCTAAGAGATTGCAGAGGATGCTTTTGAGGCTCCAAAGATACGATATTAATGTTGTCTATGTTCCAGGTCGATTAATGTACCTTGCTGACACCCTCAGTAGAGCGTACTTACCAGAGTGTGCTTCAGAAGGATCTGTAGAGACAGAAATTGAGACGATTAACATGCTGCAGTACCTGCCCATTTCAGAAGGAAGTTTACAAAAGATACAGACAGAAACTGCAAAGGATGAGACGTTTCAGATGTTACGGCAAGTGATAGTCCAAGGATGGCCAGAAGAGAAAACACAGCTGAAAGAGGAGGTGAGACCATTTTTTTCAGTAAGAGAAGAGCTGAGTGTGCAACATGGTGTGATTTTCAGAGGTGAGAGAGCTGTAATACCAACGAAGCTAAGAACAGAAATCATGGAGAGAATTCATGCTGCACATTTAGGCATAGAAAGTTGTTTACGCAGAGCAAGAGACTGCGTATACTGGCCTGGGATGAGTGCCGCCATAAGAGCATACATAGGAAACTGTGCTGTCTGCAGAGCAGTAGATGTACGGCAGCAGAAAGAAACATTGTGCCCACATGTTATTCCTATGAGACCATGGTCAAAAGTGGGAACAGATTTGTTTTCATTTAACAACAGAGCATATCTCATCACAGTGGATTACTTTTCCAACTTTTGGGAAGTGGACTGTCTCACAGACACCAGATCAAGTACAGTGATACACAAGTTAAAGGCCCATTTTGCACGACACGGGATCCCAGACACTGTGATATCTGACAACGGACCACAGTACAGCTCACAAGAGTTCAAACAGTTCAGCACAGTTTGGGAATTTAAGCATATAACATCATCTCCAGCATATCCGCAAAGCAACGGCAAAGCGGAGTCTGCTGTAAAGACGGCAAAACAGCTGATGGAGAAAGCGAAGAGAGCAAAGACTGATCCATATCTAGCTATACTAGAGCACAGAAACACACCATCGCAGGGTTTCCATGCCAGTCCGGCACAAAGACTCATGAGCAGAAGGACTAAAACACTACTGCCGACACATGACGGCCTCCTGCAGCCAGGTGTTGTAAACACAGAACATGCAGTAAAAGCCAACCAACGCAAACAAGCATTCTACTACAACAGAGGAGCAAAAGATCTCAGACCTCTCAGGCAAGGAGAACACGTAAGGGTTCAGCTGGACGCGAAAAACAGATCAGACTGGACACCAGCAACCGTGTTAAGAGTTGCCAATAACAGATCATACACGGTCAAGATGGAAAATGGGACTGTAGTAAGGAGAAATCGGAAACATCTCAGGACTGTGTTTGGAGGACCTCAGAGTGCAGACACCCAAAACATGAGTGTCAAAACTGAACAGTCAAATAAGAAGATCAATCTGGATGAGGGACATTCACGGACAGTAACACACACTCACACACAACATTCAGATAACAGTAACGATGTTGTGACAACCAGAGCTGGCAGAATAGTCAAGAGACCAAAACACTTGAAAGATTTTGTTTAAATCTGTTTAATTGTTACCACGAGACAGAAGAGCTGTTTTGACTATATGGTGTTATATTGTTGTTCTTGGTTACAAGTTATTTCATAAAGTGACCATGTTTCATGCCATATATGAAAAAAAAAAAAAAAAAAAAAAAGGAAGGATGTTACAATATGTTATATATGGTCATAAGGAAGTGACAGACTATGTATTGTTGAACCCTGACTCCTGTGTATGTGACGTCATTTGAGATGCGCAAGCACGTGAAGTAAAGAGAAGCACTGAGAAGCATGCGGTTGTGAGATTCATTTATTTTATAGAAATAGAGTGAGTGTCATACAGAGCCAAGCATAACAAGAACCTTCACATATGTCGTTTTTGATTGTATTATTAACAAACTACTATCACTATTCTATTACCTAACTAGCCTGTTCAATACATTTCTATTAACGCTGTATAACGTGAGCGATACCGTCCATTAGGGTGGAAACCACATTAAATATAAATTTAATTATATAATGTAGTAGCGCTGACAGCAACAACTCTGCACACATAATAAGTTCTTAGGTTAACCTATATTATCAACTGTATTGAGCCAAACAATGCACTCAGTAACGTGACTATGTCTGGATAGGCATGATATTAAATAGCAGTAATAAACTACTGTTGCAAACATTTATTCCAGTCCAGGTTTCTATTTATTCATTGATTTTTCTTCTTCTGACTTTACTCTGGTATAACGTTAGTGCTGCATTATGACCATAGAAATATGATTATGACCGTTCTAAAAGCTTGGCTTTTATTTTGATAGGCCATATTTACTATTACTTCCGGGTCACGTGGCCAAGCTGTCCTTGTTTCAATGTAGATCTTCAAACGGAAAAATGGAAAAAGTTTCTTTGTTTTTGGTTTGAAACGACAAACGAAAAAAGGGTGGTTTCTCGGTCCGTGTACGTTTTGATAGTTTGTTTTTTCGTTTGAAACAAAAAACAAAATAATGAGAAACCACCCTTTTTTCGTTTTTCGTTTCAAACCAAAAACAAAGAAACCGTAAAAAAAGAGCCGTTTTCCCGTTTTTGGTTCTGAATCGAAAACCGAAAAACTAAAAAAACAAAATCAAATAACGGTCCGATTTTGTTTTTTTTAAATTCCTTTTAATAGGCCTACTGATGATGATAATAATAATAGTAATAATAATAGTAATAATAATAACAACATCAATAAAGCATGTAACCTCATATAATTATATAGCAATAGCCTAGTAATGATGATAGGCCTACTACTATGCATAATAATAATAATACCTGCAAGCTCACATTAAAAGTCTGGTGCTACTGCCAATTATAAAAAATAGCCTAGTAATGATAATAGGCATATCTACCACTAATGATGATGATAATAATATTAATAATAATGTGGGCCTAAAAATAATAGCCTATAGGGCTATCTATCTATCTATCTATCTATCTATCTATCTATCTATCTATCTATCTATCTATCTATCTATCTATCTATCTATCTATCTATCTATCTATCTAGATGGTGGTGTAAGCAAGGTGGTGTGGGGTGTGGTGTGGGACGTGGGGCACTGGGGCCCCAACTGCAATGAACCAGCTTTGGGGGGGCCCAGCTTGCAAAAGGTTGAGAACTCCTGCTTTAAGGCAAAGAGGGAGCTCCTCAGCAGTAATGGATATTATTTGGGAGAACCTTTATTTTGAAAAGTAGCCTGAAGCACAGACATAACTGATGGAGAACACTATCCAATCAGAAGCGAGGGGTTGATCCAGTCCCACCCACCAATTGAGAGCCTAAGTCCCTCCCCTTCCGGTCACCACCATGGGACCTTATTCATAGACATATACACTAGACCTCACCTTGGGGTTCTAAGCATGCATCAAAACCGCCGCCATCTTGGAACAGGGGTCTTGTCATAGGAAGTAGCTAGGTAACACTGCTATCTCTGCCTTTACTTCGAATTCATTGATGGTGGCGGACTTGTGTGCAGCGTATGATGTTTACGGATGAAATCTGAACTAGGAAGTATGTTTTAAAAAAAAAAATTATTTCTGGAATCAATGATAAATACCGTTGGAACAAACCAATAAAACAAGAAAAATCGCATTCATGATGATTTATGGTGATTTTATTTCCGTTAGACCTGTGTCTACTACATTGACACTGATGCATTAAAGTGGAGGCGCTCCCCTGTTTCAAGATGGCGGCTCTATTGACGCATTCGTTCCAATGAACTGCCGTAGCCAAGGTGAGGTCTAGTGTATATGTCTATGGGACCTTATTTCGGAAAAATATTGTATGGTAGTCAATGGCGAGAGACAACAAATATTTTGATCTCGTTTGAACTGTGCTCTGAGTTACACATATGATGTTTGTCAATTTAAAAGAATCATTTTAAAGTCAAGAACGTCTTAGTTTGATGTAAAACCGTTGAGGTATAAGACTGTGAAAATACGTAAAGAAAACAATCCCCAAAGGCGCACATTTTCTCTCAATGAATGAAGCTAACTTTACTGAGGTTAATGTCTGTCATTGTTTCTATAATCTTACGTTGTAATCGTAACGTTATGCCGTCATGCCTGAGTGTTTTGTACTAGACTGCACATACACGAGCAGCGGATCTTGTTCGTTGTTTCACTACCCGGGAGATGTAGTTCATTGAGCGATTTTCACATAAAACTAAATGTTACTCTTCTGTTTTATGACAAACTGCGACGTTTTTGACTTTCAGAATTATCCTTTAAATTGACAAACATCATATGTGTAATTCAGGGCACAGTTCAGACGGAATAAAAAGATAAGTTGTCTCTCGCCATTGACTACCATTCATATTTTTTCCGAAATAAGGTCCTATGAGCCGGAAGCGGAAGGGCGGGACTTAGGGGTCCGTGTACGTTTTGATAGATTGTTTTTCGTTTGAAACAAAAAACAAAATAACGAGAAGGGTCCGTGTACGTTTTGATAGTTTGTTTTTTCGTTTGAAACAAAAAACAAAATAACGAGAAACCACCCTTTTTTCATTTGTCGTTTCAAACCAAAAACAAAGAAACCGTAAAAAAAGAGTCGTTTTCCCGTTTTTGGTTCTGAATCCAAAAACGAAAAAAAAAAAAAAAAAATCAAATAACGGTCCGTTTTTGTTTTTTTGAAATTCCTTTTTCCATTTTTCCGTTTGAAGATCTACATTAAAGTCCCCGTGAAATCAAAATTGAACCTATTTACTTTGTTAGCGCATATTACTAGTCTTGTGGTGAACAATTAATCCGTGCAAGTAAATATATATTAAAAAATGTTTTACCTTGGTAATCTTTAATCAAAATCTGAAAAGTTACTTCCGGTCTGGAACGGTTGATGACGTAGGTTTCACAGTTTGGGTGGGGAAACGCTTAACCACTCCCCTCAAACCGTTAGTTTGCTATGAGCGAGAGATGGAGAGGAGGAGCGCTAGAGTAAAACCCTGCCCTCTGTTCAATATTCCGTTTCACTTGGAAATACGTCACAGCACGGGAGAAAAATCGTTTGCAACTTCCGGTTCACGGGGACTTTAAAACACGGACAGGTTGGTCACGTGACCCGGAAGTAATAGTAAATATAGCCTATCAGAATAAAAGCCAAGCTTTTAGAACGGTCATAATATGCAGCACTAACGTTATACCAGAGTAACGTTAGAAGAAGAAAAATCAATGAATAAATAGAAACCTGGACCGGAATAAATATGTTAGCAACAGTTTATTACAGCTATTTAATATCATGCCTATCCAGACATCACGTTTAATGAGCGCATTGTTTGGCTCAATACAGTTGGTAATATAGGTTAACACATGAACTTACTGTGTGTGCAGAGTTGAACTGTTAGCGCTATATTATATAATTATATTTAATGTGGTTCCCACCGTAATGGACCACTGTTTCCCCTTTCTAACAGCAGGTGGCAGTATTTAAATGACTGACTGTATGGTGTCTTTGGTAACTGTTTTAAATCAAGACTACTGATACAGATATATTTATTGTTGTTCATTTTATTTGGTTTTTGATTTTATTTGCCTAGTTATCATCATCATCATTCATCCAGCCCAGAGTTAAACCTGCTTCTGTTTTAGCCTGATTCTAACTATGATGATTCTAACACTTCTATCAGCTTTTTAGCACCTCAGACAACAAACTCACATCAGAAATGTCCTATGTAGGCCATCTGGCCAAAAGAATGATTTACCAGTGTGCTGTGTGAATCTTTCTTCTCTATACACATTCCAGTGAGTATAAAATACAAAACTCTGATAGTGTCATGCAAGTGAAGAGAATCCATACAAGTCTTAAAACTTTATATAGCACATTCATGCTTTCAAAGGCATTGGATGTACAATCAATGGCTGCAGAATTTTTGTTAAGCCCTAAGGTAAGAAGATTTTACAAGGTCCTCAAAAGAAATAACAAAAACATAATTACATTACAAAAAAAAAAAAAAAAAAAAAAAAAAAACAGGCTGTCAACGCTGATTACATCAGCAACAATTTTCAATGAAAGTTTAAATATTAACATAAAAATGTTTTAGAATGGCAGAAAATTAAGAAATGAGAATGTGTCTGTACACCTAGCCCTATGTATCTTAATCAGCATTAAACTTCTGTTTGCTTACAGTCCCTCTGACTGCAGCTCAGGATATCATTTTGACTGTGCAATGATGGAGAAGTGAACTGTGCATCACTACGCTGCATGAATTTATCTGAAAAAAGTAGGCTATTTTAAAGTAGAATTCCATAAATTATATTCAATAAATATTATCAAAACTTTAGGTGTTCTCAAGTGGTCTGTAATCAAATAATGATGGCAGTTGTTACGTAGGCTAGGTATGCCTAGTAATTGCTGACAACATCTGGCCTTAATCAATCTGGAATGTAAAATATTTCAAGGTACACATTTCAAAGAAGACTATTATACAATGAATATGAGGTGCTAGAAAAACAAAATTCATCAGGTGGTATCCAATGATAGTCCCACCATGGGCCCAAACTTTTCTGTAGATTTTTCCATAGACAGCTTTTCAAAAGCTGCCTCAGTATAATAGCCTGCCGCTGTCACGCAATCTGTTCTTCGGAGAAGCGCGTTCGCGCCCATGGTCGCGCCATTTACGATTAAACATATATTGCGCGTCTATGTCAGCTTAAACGCCAATGCATGTTTATAATACATAAATGTAAAGAATGATTTTCATGACAACTAAATATTTTCGCTTTGGTATATTAAAGAATCCTCTGTGCAAAACAACACTATTTAAT